AGGGAAAGAACCATCTAATGGATCCAAACAATAATAAACAAGTACGCAAAGCAGTCAGGGAGTGTATGAGCAATTCCTTGTCAAGAGCTAGAATTTTTGTCCAAACTAAAACGAGAATTTGTCGCAGCTCCATCGTCATTGTTTGAAGTAGCTTGAGCACATAAGGAAATATTCCAACAAGCAAGGCCTGTCGAGGAAATTTGAACATTATTCAAATCAGCATATATAAAAAAATATTTCCTTTTTTTGTAGGAAATAGCAATGATGCAATATAATGATACAGTACCTGATCTACAGCCCAATGTCCCTTGTCAAGAAATCTTCCTAGAAGCACCAATGCTTGAAATCGATGAGAATGGCCAAGTAAAACCTATAAATTTTAAAAGGATAGAAAGAGATAAATAGTCAAATAAAATGGGTAAAATATGCAAAAAGATAAATTTGATGTTGCTGGAAATGGGAGAAAATGGGGGTTAAACCTCTGGTTGGGGCTCAGACAACAAATAGAGCAAAATAACTAGTGTATCTGCTTGTAAACAAATAATTTATGCTTCATGAAAATCCTCCCAAAATTTTCCCAACCAAAGGCACGACCATTGAAGTAGGAGATGCTCAGTTTGTGCTTCATTAGGGTTTGCAAGTTGCAGATGCTTCAAGCATACATGGAAAAGATTAGCTTGCATGCATTCCTCTTGTCCTCGTTTGTGCCCATCAACAATAACTGCTAAAACAAAGGCGGCCATTGCCCCATGTTTTGGGTAAGCATCCATGCTATCGAGAAACTTAATAAAATAGGTATGACCTCCATATTTCACAAGATCAACCTGACAAGTCTTTTTCCCACAAAAAAAAATAGAGGTTTCAGTTTCAAAATCTCAAAAATAGCATGCTACAGTAACAAACAAACTCCGACATTACAACTTCTTCCTCCCATCAGCAAATCCTTAGCTCACTAAATAGAACATAGGAAAAGAACCACCTAATGACTCCAAAAAAAAATAAACAAGCATCCAAAACAGTCAAGGCGTGTATAAGAAATACCTTGTCAAGAGCCAGAATTTTTCTCCAAATTAAAACGAGCATTCGCCGCAGCTCCACTGCCGTTGTTTGAAGCAGCTCGAGCACGTAAAGAAATATTCCAACAGGCAAGGCCTATCGAGAAAATGTAAACCTAAAAACTATGGTTTGTCTCGTCAATTACAACATTCCATTATCTATTTGCATGTATCGGATCATCGTGGAAAACAAAGAGACTAAAATATTTTTTCTCCAGCGTCCCGAAAAATCCTAACATTTAACAGCATATATGTACAATATTTGTAACCAAGGGACCGTTTGGGGCAGCTTGTGCGTTTCAGGATAA